TTCTATGATATTAATGAGGCAGGATTAGAGGTGGTTCTATAAAGGTATGATCAGCGTGTGATGAAAGTGAAGTCTCCCAGCATGGCACTGGTACAATGACAGACACACAGATCAATGGAATAGAACTGAGAAGCAGGAAATCAGCCCATCTATCTATGGTCAATTGATTTTTGACAAGGAGATGAAATAAGTTAAGTGGGGAAATTACAGCCTTTTTAACAAACGGTGTTGGCAAAACTGGAAAAATATCTGCAGAAGACTCAAGCAAGATCCACACCTCACTTCATACACAAAAACCAACTCAAGGTGGATCATGGACCTAGAACTAAAACCAAGGACTATAAACTTCATTAAAGAAAAGCCTGGAAGAACTCTAGTAGTCCTAATCCACAACATAAATAGTCTTCCAAGTATCCTGAAAAATCTACAACCAGGAGAAGATAAAATAAGATGAATGGGACCTTCTAAGAATCAAATTCCTATGCACATCCAAAACCTTCTCCAACAGGGTAAAAAGGGAAGCCACAGACTGGGAAAAAGTATTTGGAAATGACATGTCAGAGAAGGGACTTATATCTAGATTTTATAAAATACTTGAGCACCACAACAAGAGAAAGGTAAAGAATCCAACTGAAAAATGGGCACAGGATATGAACAGAAACTTCACCAAAGAAGACATTCAGATGGCCAACAAGCACATGAGGAAATGTTCAAAATCCCTAGCTAAGAGATACAAATCAAAACAACTATAAGATATCATCTCACCCCAGTAGGAATAGCGAAAGTTAACAGAACAGCAAGCAACAAATGCTGGCGAGGTTGTGGAGAAACTGGAACCCTTATTCACTGTTGGTAGAAGTTTAGAATGGTGCAACCACTGTGGAAGGTGGTGTGGCACTTTCTCAAAAATGTGCAAATAGAAATACCATTTAACCCAGCAATTCCACTACTGGGAATGTACCCTAAAGAGACCATAACTGCCATCCAAGCAGATATATGCACACCCATGTTTACCGTGGTTTTGTTCACAATAGCAAGGAGTTGAAAACAACCTAAGTGCCCATCAACAAACGAATAGATAGAGAAGCTGTGGTATAGTCACACAATGGAATACCATGCTGCATTAAAAAACAAGGAACTCACGCAGTATTATTCAAAATGGGTGACCCTGGAGGACATTATGCTGAGTGAAATATCTCAGTCACAAAAGGACAAATACTGCATAGTCCCACTGTTGTAGAATGGGGCTGACATCAGGGTTGGGGTAAGACTGAGAAAAACTGGATAAATTATGTATACTGCATTGAAACAGATGAGGAAGAGAACAGTTCAAAAGTGATATATATTAGGTAATATGGTTATCACAAGAGTCCAGAATGAAGGTTGCATAGTGGAGTGTACTCGGGGAGGCGGGGAAGGCAGGGGGATTGTATACCAATGAAGCATTTTTTCTTTTACTTTTCAAAGAGAGGAGCGAACTGGGGGTGGGGGAGAGGTGGGCAGAGAGAAAAGTGCAACAATGAATGAATGGAAATCCAAAATCTGTGTAAGTGTTCACTGAAATTAATAAAATAAAATTAAAAATAAAAAGAAAGCGAAGTTTCCTTGGTGGTGTAAAGTGCATTGATTATCTATCTGGGCTCAGGGGCTAATTGTCTGATTCCACATGTGGCTATTTGGCTTGCAACCTTGAGAACTGAGTGAGGAGTCTGCTGCACTAGGCAACTTTGGACTTAGCAGTTTCTGAAGCCAGAGGTCTTTAACTCTGCTATTCTACAAAGCCAGCAGCCTGAGAGGATGCCTGCCTGCTGACAAGTCAAACTCATCAGCCTTGTCAGATACCTTTTCTCTTGAGGTCTGGCATGTAGAAGTGGAACTTGCTAACTTCAACAGGCATAGTGAAAGAACTCTCTCTCTCTCTCTCTCTCTCTCTTTCATTGCTTCTTTGTATAATCCATTCTAAGACATAACCTTTATTAAAATCAAGGTACAGCTACAGAGCATCACACTGGAAATAAATGAAAAAGAACTCCATTTAGTCTACAAAGACACTCTTCTCCATCTTCATATATGTTTTCTTACCCAAACCCTTCAAATGCTTATGGACTCTCAAACATCACTATGCTGTAGGTAGAAAGGGGGGGGGGGGAAATCAACCAACTTAGTTCTATTTTTTTCATTGTGAACTCAGTAAAATTAAGGAAAGAAGCAAAATGGAAAAGAAAAGGAAATGTCAGTCTTAAGGGGTCAGTGTGAGAAACGATGCTGAAGTCCCACTATCTCTTGAAAAACCACATAATCTGCTTTAACATCAAGCCTCCAATACTGACATCAACATTCAGAACTGAAGAGTCAGGTACTTGAGCACAGCTTTCAGGACAGCGAGCGCCTGACCCTGACTGGAATTCACAAACGTGCCACTTCATTTTCTCTGCATTCACCAGTTTTCTCTGTAGTGGCTAGACTATCCACTGTGACCACTTAAAAGCAATGTTTCATTTTGAACTGAGAGGAGCTTTCAGGACAAGGCTTTCTGTAACAAGTGCAGACTAAAAAGGGGAAAGGAGAGTCTGAGATGCCTGAATTCACAACTTAATTTGAAATATTTATTGAGTACTTGGGAGCACTGGTGGCCTAGTGGGTGTAAAGTCATGCATTTCTAATCCACCAGCTGTTCCACGAGAGAAAGATAGCCAGTCTCCTCTGTGTAATTTACAATCTCTGAAAATTCACTGGAGGGTCAGTTATAAGTTAGTTCTAACTTGATGACAATGAGTTGAGTTGATCAAGTACTTCTAAGTGTAGAAACCCAGAGAATTAGGTTTCCAATCAGAAGGGTCGAGTTCCAGCGTTACATAGAAATTACAATTTTATATGCTAAATGCATAGACAGAGGTCTGTCTGGTCTGCTCAGGTGGAGGAGTCACAGAAAGCTACCCGATCTAGAAGAGGAGTCAAGGAACAGCAACGGAAGCTTCTCAAGAGCTTGAGTGGAGCCTTGGCGGATGAGTATTAGTATGTCAATTACAGAAGAGTTACAGGTGTTCCGCCCATGGATCTCTGGTTGCATAGCATCATGTGCATTCAGGATATTTCAATACAGGTGGTTGTTAGCTGCTGTTTCGCTGGCTTCTACTATATGGAGAACTCATGCACAATGGAGCACCATATTGTCTGGTCCTGCATCACCTGCATAATTGTGAATCAGACTGTGGGATTTCAGGTTTTCACTGGATGATGTTGAGAAACATAGCCCCTGGCCTTTCTTCCTAGTCTCAGTCTGGAAGCTCTACTGAAACTTGTCCAGCATCATAGCTACACACACATATCTACTGACAGTTGGGTGGTGGTGGCTATATGTGACGTACATTGGCTAGGAATTTAACCCATGTCACCTGTTGGGTCTTCTACCACTAAATCTATCACTGCTCCCAGGCAATAAATGCTTAACAATATGAAGTGCTAAATTTGAGAAAAGCATTTCATTTGGTTCAATCTAGTAGAGACCCAAGTTGAAGTGTAGTCTTGATGCCCTAAGGCATTTGATACTGCTGTCATAGTAGGGAAGGCATATGAAGAAAGAAACACTGAGTTGAAGAAGGTGGCACAGGCTAGATCAACTTTTCCCACAGCAATTAAAGTGAGAACAGATAGAGGTTGGAATTTTCTCCAAGTACTAGGATTGTTTTGTTGTTGTTGTTGTTAGGTGCCATTGAGATGACTACATCTCAAAGTGACTCTGTGAGCAACAGAGAAAAACCTTGCCCTGGCCTGACCATTATCATGAGCTCGACCATGCTCAAGGCCACTGTTAAAACCACTGCTTCAACTCATTTTGTTGAGGGTCTTCTTCCTCTATTTTGTTGACTCTCTTTTCATCTGAGAAATTTTTTAGGACTGCCTAAGTAGTTAAAAAAAAATCCAATTAACTTGAAAGCACCAAAGGAGAAATTAAGAAAAATTTCTATGACATTTTATTGTTGAGTATACCTCTTAAGAAGAATAATTTTTTCAAAGCTTCTTATTCCTTTCAATCTTTATCACAATATTCTTAACACATCTTATTATGTACAAACCATCTTATTATGTATAAACTTTTGAGCTCAATTTCATCACTTTACATGAACTAATAAGCAATTGTATATGTAATCATCACATGTGAGGTTTGTCTTTTTTGTCTTAATGGCTATGCTGATTCACAGGATCTCTGGTGACACAGGCCATAGGGAGTTACAGTTCTATGCCAGAAGTGAAATGTCTGGCAGTTTGGATCAACCAGCAGGTCTGCTAGAGAAAGATGGGTTTTGCAGCCTCAAAAACCTGCTGGAGGGTAGGCTAGGAGTAGGTTCTGACTTGTTGGCAATGAGTGTTTTGAGAAGACTGTTTCATTGTATTCTAACCATAGACAACTACTTCCTTTCTCTATGTCTATGGGAGACCACTGATAAGATGGATTGATACAGTGACTGGTGTAATGAGGGTAGTTGTGTCAGAGACAGCAAAGTTGGCACAGGATAGAACAGGTTTCAGGGCTGTGTACATAGGGTCGCTGTGAGTCACAAGCAACTCAATGGCACATAACAACAAAAATTGTCTTTCTATCATGGAAGAAGACATTTGCTTATTATAAGTGACATTTCCATAAACAGCTTTTACCATGCGTGGTTTATCTTATCCTCTCCTTGAAGTAAATTCTGAAGCAGGAAGTTACTTGACCAAACTCACCAAAATTGAAAGGTAGGCTGATTCTGACTCATGGTGACCCTCCATTTGGTTTCTGAAGTTACAAAGATTTATGGAAGGAAAATGCCACACACATCACTCTCTTACAGAGAAGCTGGTGGATGTGAACCATCGACCTTTTGCTTAGCAGCCCAACACCTTGCTCAATGTGCCACCGTACTAGTCCTTTGCTAGGTGGAAGGCGAAAGGGAATGGTCTATTTTATGAATACTTCCTTCATCATTTGCTAGCCAGGTGGAAGTGGACCTGGTACTTACTGTTTTGCTCCAAGTGAGGCCCGTGGTATGGTGTTCCTTGATGTATGCCTGGAGCGCATTCCAAATGTTCAGATATGACTTCACCCAGTCGACATGGCGCATATCACTATAGAATAAAGAAAGTGGAAGAACACAAAGTCAGGATCTAAAAGAAAATTGTAAAATGTGAAGGCGCCAGGCTTTCCAGTGAGTAAGGCTATAGAAAGTCCTGCAACAACTGCACTCTTGAAATGGGATCTGTGAACTGAGTCAGAAGAGGATGCTGGGGATGGTGGCTCAGAGCCTGAGCTCCATTTGGGGAGCAGGATGGACTATAGGGCTGGGGATATGGCCAAACCGAGCAGCCTAGGCAGTATGTTCCAGTGTCACCAAATCTGTAATGAAGAGGAAAAGGTGGAGCAGAGACGATTTCTGATGCAAAAATTAAAAAAAAAAACCTAAAAAAAAATTCCACTATGCTCTCAGGAATATAAGCAACCCTAAAAGGGATGGGAGTTCAAAACAAATATAAGACATCACCTCACCCCAGCAAGAATAGCAAAATTTAACAGAACAGCAAACATCAAATGCTGGCAAGGTTGTGGAGAAACTGGAACCCTTATTCACTGTTGGTGGGAGTGTAAAATGGTGCAAATATGGAAGGCTGTATGGTGCTTCTCAAAAATTGCAAACAGAAATATCATTTGAACCAGCAATTCCCCTACTGGGAATATATCCTAAAGAAATCATAACTGTCACCCAACCAGATATATGCACACCCATGTTTACTGCGACATTATTCACAATAGCAAAGAGCTGGAAACAACCCAAGTGCCCATCAACAAACGAATGGATAGGGAAGCTCTGGTATATTCACACAATGGAATACTATGCTGCATTGAAAAATAAGGAACTCATGAAATATTAGACAAAATGGATGACCCTGGAGGACATTATGCTGAGTGAAATATCTCAGTCACAAAAGGACAAATATTGCATAGGGCCACTGCTGTAAAATGGGACTGACATCAGGGTTGAGGGAAGACAGAGGAGGGGAGGAATGATATATACTGCACTGAAACAGATAAGGGAGAGAAGTGTTTAAAAGGGATATATGATTGGGTATTATTGTCATTACAGGAGTCCAGAATGAAGGCTGCACAGTGGAGTGGACTTGAGGGGAGGGAATGCATAACAATGAAAGAGTTTTTCTTTTACTTTTCAAGGAGAAGAGTGAATTGAGTGGGAGGCGATGGGCAGGGCACAAAGTGCAACAATAAATGACTGGGAACTCTAAGTCTCTGTAAACTTTCATTAAAATTATTATTAAAATTAATAAGAATAACAACCAATAATAATAATAAAATAACAATATAATAATAATAATAATAAAGGATGGGAGTGTGGTCTTAACCCTGACACTGTCAGCAGCAGCAGCACCAAAAAGATTCCAGGGTTCCTGGTTGCAGAGGGACCGGTAGTGTGGCGTCACGAGGGCTCAGACGGAGGCTGACTGTGTGGGGCTGGTCCAATCTGCCTACCAGGAGTGGTGGTGACGCCAGCCTTAGTGATGTCAATACTTAGGTATGGCAATGGTATTGAAATGTCTTTTGGCCAAAGTCTTGTTTTCTAATTTATAATGTCAGTTGAAAGTATAACCTAATGGGGAATTGGAATCGTTTATAACTGGTTAAAAGAAAACTAACAGCATAAGAAAAATAATATGCATTCCTTATAAGCGGGTTAAAAGGGCATTTATATTATCTTGACACTTGTGATGATGCTCCAAGCTAGGCAGACTGTGACAAGCATTTTTATCCCTACTTTACTTTCTTTTAAAAAAATAAGAAAATGCTTACTTTTCTTAACACACATAGGTTTATGTGTGTAATGTATTTATAGAATTCACACACAAGTTTCACAGAATGGTAGGAAATATTAGACTGCACAAATTGATGAAAATAGTTGCACTTCCTTTTGACAATGTCCATCCATAGTCTGCCCCCTCCCTGCTTTGAAGAAGATAGTGATAATGAGAAATTCTACTTAACAAAAGTTTAACTGTATACCTCGGAAATTAATGTGATGTTAATCATTGAAGGACATCTCTATTGTTCAAGCTTTTCTTGATAACTATTTGTTTCTGAACAAGTTTTATACTTCCAGAATGGTTTTAGCCTTCGGAACTGTGAGAAAATAAATTTCCGTTCCTCCAAATCACCCACTTGAATTTGTGTTACAATAGCCTTAGGTAACTGAGACAGCATGCTACAGTCCTTCCCTCATAAAGAGAAGGCACAGAAAACTGAGGTCCAACCACAGACAGTGGGTGGGAGTGGAGGATTCAACCTTCATTCTACACACATGGGTGCAGATGAGTCTACATTCATCAAATGACCGTCCCCAGTAGTTCTGTACACTGCACAGCTGGGAGCCCCTGTGGTGCAGTCCACAGGGAGCTGCACTGCCAACTCCAGGTTATGGCCCTCTGGTGATCTCAATCTACCAGTAGCTCCACTGGGAGAAAGATGGGCACCCTCTTCCTACGTGATTTACCGTCTCAAAAAAAGTGTTGGAGAGTCAGCTACGAGTAGGTTCCAACTATGTGGGATTAAGTAGATGTGTGAATGAGGGAGTGAGAAGCTCAAGAATGACTGAGGAATGCTTTGACTGCCCCTAGAAGTAAGTGAGGAGCTGTGGTGGAGGGGTGGTTAAACACTCAGCTGCCAACCAAAACGTTGGCAGTTTGAACTCACCCAGCTGCTCTTCAGGGGTATAACAAGGCAATCTGCTTCCATAAGGTTGAAAGCTTTGGAAATTATGGGGCAGTTCCACTCACTCTACAGAGTCACTATGAGAAGGAATCACTTTGATGGCAGTAGGATAGAGGTAAGTGAATGAATTTGTCTTGCTGACTTGTTGCATAGCAACAACTGGTCCACCAGGCTTGAACTGTACTTCATGCTACCAGAAGTGCATTTTGTACTTAATAACACTATGAGGTACATACTAGATTCTACATGTGTACAAAAAGAGGAAAATCCATAGCCTCCTTGGCTATGCTATTACCTGCGTGAATCACCAACATGTTTGCCCTCAACATACAGCCAAGCAGGTACAGGAAGGAAGATGAGAAGTGATGTGGAGAGACATTGAAGTAAAAAACGGCTTTCAGGGGAGACATACAAAAGCAAGCAGAGGCCTAGGTAATGCATAAAGGTGTCCCGAATAGGAATGGGTGGGTCTGTCCATGCATCTTGAGAACAGAATAAGTACAGAGGTCTTTTCTGATGTGGATGTGAAGCTTGCTGACATAATTTCCATACCGAGGTTTAAAAACTTCAACTTGTTCATTCCTGGATTTTTTCTTTTACTTACTAAGAGCAGGGTGTCTTCCTTGATGCCTTTTCTCTTTCATATTCCATGATTCTACAGTCCATAATGAAGATTGTTGTTAGGGCAAGTCATTAAGCACTTGTCTATGAATCAAAAGGCTGGAGGTTTGAATGCACTCAAAGACACCTCAGACGTACGGTTGGAGATCTACTTTAGAAAAATCAGTGGCTGAAAACCCTCTAGAGCACAGGTCTACTGTGACACACAGGGGAGCAAGGGGTGCGGGCGTGTACACAACAGCAAGAGGTTTACTGTCTTGGAGGGAACACAACGACATCTGGACTCATGTCACTGGGAGCAGTTACTTCAACCACAGCTCTGTGGGTACAGAAAATGTCAGCGAGTATAAATGACTTCAGTCCCTTCAGTGGGAAGACGCCATAGAAAGTGAAGGTGTGTGGTGAAGGTACTGGGATTTATTAATACATATCTTCAACAAAGTCTTCCAGTCAGTTGGCCAAGTGGTTGTTCTCCAGATTTCTTGGCACAACTTGGTGAGCACATCCAGGGCAACATCTGTTATCTGAAATACTTCAATTG